AAAGAAAGAAATGATGGGTCTTGCTTTCTGCCAGTCCTTGGTCGGCTTGGGAAGGATGCGGGCTGTAGGCAACGGTGCTTGGAGTCGAAGTCCCCACGCGTAGCGCTGATGTAGGAGAGAAGGTATCGTAGTGACCACCTCTGAGCGAAAAGATGCTGCAGATTCACGACACAGCGAAAAGACTTCTCCCGAGCAAAAGGTCTTGTGCGTCAGTATGGCAAACAACGAAGGACAAATCACATGTGCACGAGAGGGAAAATGATCCGCTGGAATTACAACCCACGAGGACAGAGAAACCACGGTGCGCTGTAGTGATGTGGATGTCCAGTGAGCACGATCATGAAGGTTGGATCGATGGGAAACAGGCCGTAGATCAGTAAGGAGACTGGATCCATGCACATGCCACCGACGAGCTAGTTTGCGAAGCTGTGTGGTAAAACGCTGATGTAGCAAGTCAACATCGCCAAAATACTGATCCTTCATGGACGCGGTCATGATGTCAATGTCGATGTCTGCATTGATGCGTGAGAACTCATCTACCATTACTACATGTTCATGTGCACGGTGTAGGAGGTGATCATCAATGTCTGAACAGCGACACGGAAAAGATATGTCAGGAGTCCATCTGCGTTGCCATGTGCGGTAGTTGTAGATCCTGTCCCCCAAAGTAGCACTGCGAGTTTCCACCACCCGGATCTTTGGAAGAAATAGGGAGGGGAACAAGTCACGATGCGAAGCGACCCAACGTTGTAACCACGTGCCAAGCTGAGCTTTGCAATTCCGTACATGTAGAGGTGGGAGAAGTAGTTGTGTCAAAGTGCTTGGTGATTGGAGCTGTCGTTTGCGCACTACCTGGGTGAGCAGCTTCTGTGCCTTCGAACGAAAAGGCTCGTTGACGAAGACGGAGAGTCGTAGGAAGTAGTAGAGCTGAGTAGGAGGAAAAGCCGCCGACAGTAAGTCTCGCATAGCCTGGAACCGCGCGCCTGTGTTGGATCCCAGCTGATAAAGAGTGGAGTAATGCGCTTGAATGTCATCCATCATTTCAGGTCGTAATTGCCGTTGAAGATCTGGATGTAGTCGTCGTCGAAAACGTTTGTGTAGCCCGAGTGAGGTGGGAGATGACAACGAATGACGCCGAAAGTCAACCAGATGCTCACGGAAGCCAACCTTTCGAAGAAGTCTATGTACCCAGGGTGCATTCAAATGCGGACGTAGCAAGTATTGCCACTTGCTTTCCTGGACCCAAACCAAGGAAATGGGAAGTTTGATCTCAACCGGAATGGCACAGAAAAGCCAGTAAGTGTTGGATCGCTTCCAGTAGTGAAGCGCTGGTTCGAAGAAGGCATGGCGTCCCCGAAGTAGTTGTAGAAATTTGCGACTGCGTGAGTGTTCTCGTCGAAGAACATCCTGATCAGTTGCACCAACGTAGTATGGAGTGTGCCATGGAGAAAGTCTGATGTAGACGCATGGTTGTTGATGGTGACCTGGATCTTGAATGAAGTCATAGAGGTCCGGGAAACGTGTCCGTAATGAGCGAAGGTGTCTTGTGTCTGCAAAAGTGGAATGCATGATTTCACACAACAGAGACGTCTTGTGGAAGAGAACCTCGAAGAACGGCGGGACATACCCATAATCTTGAGAAATGAGACGCTGCAAGAAACTGATCAACAAATAGGCCGTGCACCGGCACCTGTCAAGTTCATACCTGTTGGCCACAGTGTGATGAGACTGTGACATGGAGTGAATCGGAATCTGAAGTGCGATCCGAACCACAACTAATACTTCCAGAATAAGGCCCAGCCAAGGTAGTCGTGCAACTGACTCATATTCATCCATTGGTATCGACGGTGGTGGAAGTCCAGGAAAGCAGTATTGCCAGCAAGTAGAGAACATTGTCAACGAGTGCAGAAAGGTGTCTAAGGAATGCCATTGTACAACATCATCATAGATTCCACAGCGGCGAAGCTCAGCCAACATGGTGAACATGCAACCAATGAAATCTACAATGTGGCGGCGACAGGAATGCAAGCGGCAATTAATACCAAGCAATTGACAACGCAAGCACAGACAAGCGCATCATCAAACAAGTGCAGAGCAAGAAGATGACGGACAAGTTTTGAACCTTTCATCAATCGTGACACAGCTGCCGCTCCGGGCTCATAAGTGAACGAAGGGAACTGCTCACCCGGTGAGTAAGCGGGCGGTCACGATGAGGTGACACAGCGCCTTGTCAGTGAGCTTGGTGAGGTAGCCAGGCTCCAGTCCCCACAGAGCCGCCATCGCCGCAAACGTAGGTGCGTCTCCTTTTAGCATGCGTTGACGCGCCTGAAAGAGCTGGGTCGCCATGGAATCCAAGGACTTGTTGCCGTTGAGACGGGATGGGTGATTGGCCCACTTGATCAATGACGCCAAAGTAGTGGTTGTGGGCGATTGCTTGAGATACAAGCGTGGCTGATCACTAGTCCATGTGTAGTACTTGATGACGTCGTCCGGCGTGCTGTGCATGGTGAGCAATTGTGACGCCGCCGGCTTGGAAGGCGGTGAAGAAAGTCCGTGAAGAGACTGAATGATTCGGGGTTGCACTGCGCCATCAAACGACTTGCCATCAAGGGCCGCTGCGCTGACCGTGGGGAGGGAGCTGGGCGGTGACGAAGATTGTGTGTGATTGGCCGGTGGTGGCGTAACCAACTCTGCATCATCCTTCTGGGTTGGCACCGTAGGGGAAGTCGCAGCGCGTAACGATGCCGAATACTGAGCCTGGAGCAACTCATGAGCTCGATTTAGATCATTGAACTTCTTGACCATGTCATCCGTTTGGGTAGAGGGCGTGAGAGTGGCGTGGTGTTGCTGAAGAAACTGAAGCACCAAGTTGGCCAAATGGTCATGAACCTTGACACGCTGGTTGAAGTCGTCAAGGTTGAGCCCCAGTGAGCTGGCAAGGTCCTTTTCCAAGGTAAGCAGGTTGATCGACTGTGATCGTCGTAGTAGTTTGGAACAGGTACTCCAAAGCAAGGCCTCCGAATCTGCCGTGAGCAAATGGTCGGAGTAGCCAGTTGGTGATGCCCCCGTGAATGACCTGAACCAGGCGAACGTCTCGGATGTCCATGCCAGACATGTCACGTAGGTTGTTGTGCGGGGTGTTGGCAACCGTCATGGGCAGGCTAAAGGAGTAGAGCTGGTTGATGTCTAGCATGCCATCTCCAGGTGTCCAGTCAACCGGTGGAGTGAGCCAGGCCTTCTGAGGTCGAACTGGTAGCGCAGCTAGGTGTCCAGGCGATGGTGAAGCTTGGGAAGAAGTAACTGTTGGTGGCATCACGGGCGTCATGAACTTCGCTGGAGTGGGCTCTGGGGGAACCGGCATCATGTAGTTGACCGGTGAATGATGGAACTGCTGTGTCGGGTTTGGAATCGATTGACAGTTGCCTGGCATCACCGGGAAATTGCTGTTGGAGTTGTAGCCCGAATTGTGTTGCCATGATACCAAGTTGTTCCAATCCATGCCCTCCGAGACCTGGTTGTCATTGTGTTCACGTCGGCGTGCTTTGCGAGACTGAGGGGAAGGACTCCGATCCCGTCTGCGCCGAGTCCTGGATCTGTCACGATCATCTCGTGGAGACATGGTGGCACAACAAACTCAAAACCGCAACACCTCAATCTTGAGAGAATCGAATCCGACAAGATGCAAGTCAATGTAAGTTCAAGCCAAGCACAGATCAACACGCGGCTATGCAGCCAACAGCAGCAATTGTGAGACTTCGCTATGATCTGACGGCTGTCTTCCCTTTAGTGAAACCTCGTTCCTGGTTAAATGTGAAATTCCGCTGTTCTATGATAAGCACGTTGAGGTCAAATTTTCCGACAGAGCCGGCCCGGGGTCACACAATGGGTACACCCGAGGATTCCCCACGAATGGGGTGCACACACTTAAACTCCAGATGGAGGGCGCTAATCCTTTCGAGTACAACTGGTCAATCTCGGCTTGGATAAGGTTCTTCATGAATAAGTTTCGGCTCACAGTCACTTGGCTTCCGTCTAGCAGCGAAAACGTTACAAATTCAACATGAAGCACACACAGCGAGAGAAACAACGGGCCAAAAGGACTTTGAATCACACGAGATGCACAGGTACGTCGAGGTGATCAGCCTCGATATCCGCATTTGCTGTGGCCGCTTCGTTGGACCATCGCACACAGCAAATGGATGGTCCCCCTGTGGTAAAAGTGAAAACCTGATGTTGGTGACAGGGTATTCTGCCACTCCGCACACACACACACACACGCACACACACGCACGCACGCACGCACGCACGCACGCACGCACGCAGGCACGCAGGCACGCAGGCACGCAGGCACGCAGGCACGCAGGCACGCAGGCACGCAGGCACGCAGGCACGCAGGCACGCAGGCACGCAGGCACGCAGGCACGCAGGCACGCAGGCACGCAGGCACGCAGGCACGCAGGCACGCAGGCACGCACACACGCAGGCACGCACACGCACACGCACACGCACACACACACACACACACACACACTCACCAAACGGGGCTTCGATGTCTTTTTGGTTCCCTTTGAAAACAAGCACCCAAAGATTCCGAGCACTGAATCTTGGGAACAGGCCCATTTTTCGGGGGTATGTTTCCGCTGTAGGTGTTAGAGGGAATGTGTCACTACTGGAAATACGTTTTTTTTTTTTTTTTTCAGGGGACTTAAGCAAATGGACCCTAAAGGATTCTGAATTGACTTCGGCGGCAAATGAAGTCGCGACATGCTCGTTCCGAGGCCAGTTTGGGGCCCGACCCTTCTTCTTTTTTGAAGTCTTTTTGTTGTAACCTCCTCGTTTTAGTCATTGAATGGTTCGTGCAGCTCGCTTAAAAAGGCACTCCTGTGTTCCAGTGGCCCTCTGGCAACAAGTCCAGACCATGAGCCAAAAAGGCGAGCATCCCCCGCTGGCCATGCTCCGCCCGCGAAGAAAAATAGCTCCGCGCGCGGGCAAAGCCAGGCCTGGTGAGAGGAGATCCCGGCCTGGCTCAATGAAGCCCTCCACTTGTGAAGGGGACAGCTATTTCCCGTCTCTGCGGAAGGCTCTGGTGGTTTGGGGCAGCTTGCAGTGAGGGTTCCAGAGGGTTCCAGAGGGTTCCGGGGCTGTTGGGGAATCCTGGGTCGATAAGTCATTTCTTGGGGCGGTTCGATTAATAACTGGGGCCGACAGTTCACCTTTTGATTAAGGGGACTAGGACCCTTTTTCATGTCGACCCTTGATGAATACATCTCCCAGTCATGAAAACAATCAGGGCCCCTTGAAAAGTCCTTTCCAGGGGACCCCCCCACTCAGCCCCGTTTTTCCGTTTAGGGTCAACTTAAGGCCGAGCGACGCAGCCCTGCACGTCCGAGAACTCCACGTAGCAGCCTTCCGGCAATGAGCCCGGCGCCTGCAATCGGGAACGAGTTGCGATAGAAAAATGGTGAACCCAGAACCTGGAACAAAAATCAAAACCTGGTACAAAAACCTGGTACAAAACCTGGAAAAAGTGAGTCATAATCAAACCGATCGGCACACAAATGGTCAACCAAGAACCCTTGAAACGCCGGCCGCAACCATGTATGGCTGGGATTGCCCCCTAACTAAGCTTCATTCACCCGGGTTTCGATTGTGACTCAAGTGAAACTCGGATTTCTTTTGAACTTCATTTGAGACACCAAACAGAGCATATTGACCTTTCAAGCTGAGCGAAGCTCATCATGTTCATATATGAAATTCGGATCTTCCTTTGAACTTCATTTGAGACACCAAACAGAGCATATTGACCTTTCAATCTGAGCGAAGCTCGTCATGTTCCAAACAGAGCATTATTTTTCCTCAAGAGAAGAGATATCTGAAATTTGAGGGCTCGCATGGCGCAGTCAAGTTGAAACAGGCAACTCCAAAGCGCAAAATGGTCGCCACACAGCCTGCCTGGCCATCTGGAATCGTAAGGCGCACCAAAGCCTGGCACAGCGCCCCCTTTGTTTCATCCACAAACCTAAAAACTCGCTCGTGCCATTGCCTCGGGACCTGATTCGATGCTCTCCACCAGCCGAATCATGGGCGCCTGCAAGGGGCTGAGAGCCAGACGAGACGGGCGAAAAGCGAAACACTCGGGGCACGGCCGCGTCCGCGTGCGGATTTCTTTCTCAAAAATCGCCAGCGGAGTGGTTTGGCAGTGTGCCATCTGGGTCTCTAAGAAAATCGATCAGCTGTGCGTCGCGCAGACGCTGTCGCGTGCAGGACGGTCTATGAGAAGCAAACAGAACTGGCTCAGGCTTTCGCGCAAGCCTCAAGAAGCACATTCGACTCATCACGACCGCGAGAACATGCCACGCCCTCTGCACGCATGGCCTCGGGGCATCGGATCTTCCATGATGCCCAGGGAGCCACCCGTGGCGGCCAAAACTCCGCCCCATTCAAACGGGCGCGGGTTCCTCCCCGGAGAAATCGGCCGACGGCTGGTTCGGCCGGCCGAAGAAAACGCGATCACGCCCCAACGGCGTCCAGCACTTCGAAGACTTTGTAGATGACCTGACAGGCAGGCGCTTTCACCGGACCTGGCTTCTTCCCGTGTGTCCCAAGGGAAGTTGGGCCAACTACTCAAAGTTCATCAAGCCGTTCAAGGATCCACTGGCTCAAGGAGGTCTTTTAAAGACCGGTGTTCAAGGGGTCAATCCACCCAAGAATCAAAAGCGGACATACATACATATATATATATATATATATAATACATATATATATATATGTACATATATATATATACATGTGTGTGTGTGTTGAAGACCCAATTGCTAGCTGGTCCCTTCACTTCAAATCTCAAGGTCGGATAAAACCGCGAGACCAGTCTCGATCGCCTCCTGAGAGCTCGCTCCTCCTGCAGTATACCTCGGCACCCCGCGGAGCGACACCTCTTGGACACCCCGTGCCCACCTCGGGCCATGCGAAGTCTCGCCAAGGTTCCCAATCTTGGGAAAAGCACCCCCCCCCATCCAAAACGCAAAAACAAAAAAGCGCCGGACCTTCGGCGCTTTGAGCGCGAAACGAACGGTTTCACCGAGGTCCGAACGCGCGAGCTCGCGCGGAGGAAAAAAAAACAACGAGGACTCGCGCGCCTCTGGAACCAGCTGGACTGCTTGATGATGGCCGCGGCCTCACTGGGCACATACTTCTCCCAGGGCTTGCCCTCTTGCATCAGCTTCACCACATCCTCGGTCGAAAAAAATGCGAACCTCCAAGATCGGTGCTTTTGTGTCCCTTGTAACCCAGCCCAGAAGAAGGGGGGTGCTCCCAAAACAGACACACCCACATGGGTCTGATTCTTGGGAGACCTTTAGGTGATGCCAAAAGGCCACCAGCCACTTGGGACCATCCTTCTCTTTAGGCACCACCGGGCTCCAAGACAACGGAAATGGAAGGTACAGCTAGAGTGGTTGGGAGCCTCCCTTGGTTTTCTTGGTTTCGGAGGGGGAAAGGAAACGAGCCGTTTGGGGGTCAAATCATAAAATGTACATTCTGTATATATATATATATATATATACATATGCACATTGGATGATTAGACATTTATTTTGAGACACCCCCCGATGAGATCCGCGAGAAAAAATCCCCTCCGCTTCATTGGTGGATTGGATTGGTGGTTTGGGGGGGAAGCAAACCAATAGGGGAAGCCGATACATACCAAACGAGGCAGAAGTTAATATTATGTTTTTTTGTTTTTACATGTGGGCCTGCCCCGTTTCGGTTTGGATAGTACGCCATTCCAAGCCTTACCTTTCGGCTTTTGAGTTAAACAAAAAAAAAAAAACGGGCGCCATCCCGCCTCCGACTGCCCTCGGTAGGGATCGTTGCTGTCTTTGCTGACGGCCTGGCTGGTCATGTACTCTGGCTCAATGGCGACCTGGGAGATGTTTCGATCAACACGTGCAACAGAACGGCGTTTCTGTCCGGTGAAACAAAACGCATGAAGCCTTCACCAAATCATCCATCAGCATCCCAAAGCGATGCAAAATGGCTGTATAAAAGCAGTCCCATCCCAAAATGGGCGTGTCTTTGTGTTTTGTTTCTTTTTTTTGGGCGGGGGGAGGCGAGGGGGTACCCAGCTTTGGTGGTTTCAAAGGAAACCCAACAGCCGTCGCGCCATTTAGTCGGGGGCCTTGCCCCGCAAATAAATTGCTTCATACATACCCCCCACCCTACATTTTTTTTCATCTTCCATCTTCTACCCTTATTTGTTTTCATCATTTTTCTACATTCCTTTCTGTCCATCTCATCCGTTTTTTTATCATCATTTTTCCAAAATTTTCGCCATCCTTTTCTCCTTCCTCCTCGCCTCATTCATTTCACCAACTACCCTCCAAAATGTCATTTCCTCAATCTCCTCGCCTCATCCATTTCAAAAAAATAAATTTGCAAAATATATTGCAAAAAATATTTGTCATCAAAAAAAATTCGAACTGTCTAAAAACGATTTGTCCATTTCCCGGACAAAAAATAGAACAGCAACAACATCACTCCCTCCTTCGTTTCATCAGCTTCATCATATATTTGTTTGGGGCGTGGTGTCCCTTGTAGGATTGTGGTTAATATCAAAATCATCACTCCTAATCAGTAAATGATACAATAGTGTTCATATTATTGTATCAATCACTCTAAGTTTCCCTATGCTTCTCCATTATGTGTTTCTCCCATTGATACGGTAGAAAACTGGCTCTACATGTCAAGCACCTAAAATGCTTTTTGCCATCTATGATTTTGATTTCATCAGGTTCTGGCAGTTTCTCCTCAGGGTTCTCGCTTCTTCTCAGGTGTCCTTGATGCCATGCTGTGTTCTCGTGTCTTGCTTTGCTTTTTAGTTGCACTTCAACATCACATAATGGACAGTAATGCGTTCTTGTTTTGTATTCCTTCATGTATTCTCTTTGCCTTTCTTGGTATTTTTCAGGATTGTTCTTTCTATCTTCCCTTCTGTATTCTCTGTATTTTTCAGGGTTGTTGTGGTAGTGTCTTTTATTTTTTGCTCTACATATACTGCAAGTCTTAAACCCTTCTTCAAACTTGTCGGCTTTTTGATTGAACATGCATTTGCTACAATACTTTCTTTCAATTTTCATCCTTATTATGTATAGGTGTTCTCTCTTTAAGTGTACATCCAAGCCTATAATTTATGGACAAAATGTAGGCGTGGTGCTCCTTGTAGGATTTTATCTTCAATATATAAAACGCTATACTTACATTATAATTATAACATATAAGGGTATAAATGTTATAATCATAGTATGGTAAAGCTATATACTGCTACCAGTATCGTTCAAATGATACTACCAGTATCGTTCAAATGATACTACCAGTATCATTCAAATGATACTACCAGTATCATTCAAATGATACCACCAGTATCGTTCAAATGATACTACCAGTATCGTTCAATTGATACTACCAGTATCGCCCACCTGATACTTCCAATATCAAGCTCAAAATCCTTAATCCACCAGACTAACCAAGATTTCACAAATTAATTCGCTAGGTATTTTATATAAATCTTCCTGTTTATGTATTGTTGGATTGTCTCCCCAATTTTCCTTGGTGCCCGATGGCAGTCTCTGCGCTGTTTCAATATGTTTATTATTCCTGATGTTGCCACAATCCTTTTTACATAAATGTCTAGGTTTCCAAGTTGTAATGTTATTCCAGAGCCTAGTGCGTTTTCTGCAAGGCATTCCATATTTACAGTAATCTACATCTTTAAAATCAAACTCATCCATAAACTCCTGATGTTTTAATAATCCAGTTTGTGGATTTTCGATTACAAAATATTTAGGATTGAAATATTTGATAATCTCAATAGTTTTTAAGACAATATTATTTGCATATTCGATATTCCTAATTCCCCTAGTTTTTGCTATGCTGTATTCAGTGCATGGGGGACTACTCCAAATAAAGTCAAAATGGTTTCTGTCAAACTGTTTGTAATCCCACTCCAAAATATCAGTGTTGATATCAGCATTTTTCAAGTCTAATGATATCACATTAAATCCAAGCGACTTTGCTATGGTTCCGACTGAACCACTACCTGAAAATAACTCTAATAAATTCATTTATTAGAACTATTTAGATTAAATATTTTGGTTTAAAAAGTCTTGATGTTTTTTACTTCTTTCGTGCACTGCTTTTATATCTCTTCTAATTACTGACCCACAACAACAGGTATATTTGATTTTTCGTTGCTGTAATCTAACATCTCTATTTCTCGCGTAGCGTTCCCTATCACGTTGTCTGATTTGTTCTGCTTCGTCTTCTTTGTATTCGGCAACAGTTCTTCCTGCTATGTGTTTGTTCAAATCAGGTTTCCATTCTCGTATTATTTCACCTTCTCTTTTGTGTAATTCTTCGTTAGTATTACACGGGAAGTATTCAATAAGTTCTATGTAAAACTTGTCTATACCTCTATCATTCATAAACCTATAAACCTTATAATTATTTGCTCTTATATTTCTGGTTGTTTTTCTGTGCTGTGCCATTCTTTCACTTAATTTCTGTGTTGTGCTTCCTATGTATGTGCTATCATTCTCGGTATTTCTAACTATGTATATTTTACCATTTGAATAGTCTTTGTGGTTTTTTCGTGATTTAACTGGTGTTGTTTCCTCCATAGTGTTTAATGGTGTTTTTTGTTTAAGTGAATATTAGAAGTATTTAGATCTTAATTATTCAAATAATACATATACTTCATCATCATTTTTTGTAATTTTATAAAACTCTAATGTTTGTTGCTTTGGTTGTTTGATTTTTCCTGTATTCAACATATCACAGTATTTCTTTTGCTTTGTAGGGTAGTCGCCCGATGGTCTTCCTATAGACTTTGCTTGAAATATCTTTTCGATTTTCTCCTTCTCTTCGTTGCTTTGTTGTTCGCGTTCAACTGGTTTTATTTTGTCATCAATGGATTTAATCATATCATTTAAGTTTTTGATATTTTTACCAATTAATGTTATCTTCTTCATTAAATCATTAATAGTATAATTCTCATTTTCAGACATTACTATATATTTATTTAGATATTTATTTATTTAATTATATATTTTTCATCATTTGTTTAACAGTTTCCTGTGTTTCGTTTTCATTATTATCGGATGGTGTTGCTTGCCTACCAAATTTAAAAGTTATATTGTGGACATCAGTTTCTAAGTTGATACTGTCTTTAGTTTTATCAATACTCATTTTCTTATCATTTTTACTTATTTTGAAACTTGTTGGAATACATGAACATTTACAATTTTTATTATTTTTTATTTCTAATTCATTTTTCATTTCTAACATCCTTTTACACATCGGACAAGAAAACTCAATTACTGCTGTTTCTTTAACAATTTCTCCGCTATCTTCATCTGTTGAAGAAACACTTAAACCTATCTTATTCTTTTTGTTTTTCTTTTTTGGCATTTATATTAATATTTATATTTTTAATATATTGTATCAAAAACTTAATTAATTCTAAAATAAAATAACATATTTTTTTACATCTATTATCAGTTATTAGTACTTGTTCTATATTCTCCATTTCATCTATTATATTAATATAATCTGTATAACTCCTTTTCATATTAAATAATAAGATAAATTATTTTTTCATTTCTGTCTTTCTTTTCTTGTAAAGTTTTTTCATTGTATCGTCTTTATTCCATCTATATTCTACAAATTTCTGATGATATTTTGAATTTAGATGTTTAAATAAATATTTGTCATCATAAGTTTTACCACAACTGCAATGGATAATAGTCATATAAATAATAAGATAAAATATTTATTTAATCTTATTATTTTCATGCATGATAGAATATTCGGAGGGCACAGCACTTGGGGTTTTCTTTACAATGCATCAAACTAATTAGCTTCAATGCTTATTGATTGAAGTTGATGAAAGAGCCTGTTCTACTACGATAGACACCATTCATATCATAGCAATGCTTTCATACAATAAATAATATTAAATTATTTTCTATATATCTTTAATATCAATTATGACAGATGTTCCAATAATAAAACCAATAAACATAACTGAATATGAATTCAAACAATCTAAATATGAGCACGTGCCAAAATTACCATTTAGAAGTATTATAGTTGCTTCTTCGACAGGCGGTAAGACTGTCCTTATTCAAAATTTAATATTGAATGTTTATAGAAATTCATTCGCAAGAATATTTATATTTTCACCCAGCGTCCATAACGACCCTACATTTACAGAAGTTAAAAAATACATCAGGGATGAATTGCACGTGGATGATGAAAAAGAACAAATTTATTTTGATAATTATAATCCAAGTGATTTAGAAAATGTAATTGAAAGACAGAAGAAAATAATTAATTATATGAAATCTAAAAAGATAAAGAAACTGCATTCAATATTAATCGTTATAGATGACCACGCAGACGACCCTAAATTTGTTAGATATAGTAAATTATTACATGGATTATTTACAAGAGGCAGGCACGATGCAGTAAGTGTGATTTGTTCAACACAAAAATACAATGTTTTAGCGCCTATCATTCGTTTGAATGCCAGTTCATTATATATTTTTAGGTTGAAAAATGCCAGTGAATTAATGAGTTTTATTGAAGAAAATAGCGCCATTGTTGATAAACAGCAATTATTAGATATGTATCATCAAGCCGTTAATTTTGCTCCATATTCTTTTTTCTACGTGAATATGAATTCAAAAGACATTAACAAAATGTTTCATATCAATTTTGAACAGGCATTTCAAATTACAAATGATGAATAAAGATATTCTAACTTAATATAATATAATAATATGCCAATGAAACTATGTAGATGTGGTGGATTGTATCGTAGAGGTAATTATAATTTTCATACTAATTCTTGGATACATAAACTTT